ATCCAACTTTATATGAAATTCCTTTTAGTCGACATTTTTTTTTTTCACAATCGAACCCGTCATAGAACTTATCTGAATTTAATAGTGAACACGAATTAAATTCCAAAGGGCCACCATAAGCCATCTTAGCAATAAGCCAGCAAAATTGCCATCTTTTGACTAAGGTGTATTTTATTTATTTTAATTAATCAAACGCCCCCATACATACATTTGAGAGAGGCCCTATAGGTCATCATTATCAGTTTAGAATGCTTTTTTTTATTTTTTTTTTCTGTGTTGGAAACTGATACTTAATAGAAGGAGGTAAAGTCCCATTGCCCTTGCCCCATAAAAATTCAAATGGTCGCCCACTTGGAAACCTTGTCGACGGTTTCACAAGCGACGTAGGTGTCTTATATAGGTACATAGATAACTCATGCTTTGCTATTAATTATTAATCTAGGATTTGCTTAATGTCGAAGCTTTTGGCTATGAATTTTATGTAATCAATTTTGGTTTTATTTCCTATTTTGCAAGGATAAATGTTTTTAATTCTTCAATTTTCCAGGAATAAGGAAATCAAGTTTTTTTTCCTTATAAATATCGCCTTGTAATCCTTCTTTGAAAGAAAGTTTCTTGAGTTTGTAGCTTTTTATAACTGCCCTTTTTGAAATCTATTTTAGGATATTTTTTATTGTAGCTAAGAATTAAATTAAAATGGGAAATGACATTTTAAACGACATTAGCTAATAAACTGAAAATATAATTTGTTTTATGCAATCATTGAATGAATCCATACTAAAATGTTAAGTATTCGATAGCATAGATTAACTTGAAAACTGGTACTGAACACCCTACATTTGGTCAATTTACGCGGTTACTTAATTGGTATTCCCCATCGCGGCGTCGTTGGTACATCTTTAAAATTACTGTGTTTAATTAGTTTATTTGTCCACTACACTCACTGTTGTATGCGGGAGTTGGAAATAATTCTATAAATAAAATATCCAAAGACATTCGGTGACATTCATTAAATGTTTTAATGTGACCTATTTATTTTATTTTTGTATTCACACTGAATCAGAAACACTCGGGACTTGCCTACTGATTTTAATATTTATTCCCTCCCCCTCTAACCGCTGCGTCTGCTTTCTAATCTAAATGCAATCAACTCAAAATTGCCGAATTTTCATGCATTTTTCACCAACGGACCGAGTAATTCACGAAGGTTTATAGGCCTTACAGACTCGCGTCGAGAAGTCCCGCCGAGCTTTCTTGGTGAGAAGAAATATAAAAGAATGAGAAGGCGAGAAACATCACAGTCACGAGTCTCGGGCTTAAGAGTCACATCACTAATAGCGAATTGATTATAAAGTAAATAATAGTCTAATTATACTGTAATTAAAAATTTGTAATCAAATGAAAATGTGTTGTATGTCTTGGAATTTTTCATATTGTCAACTAGTGGCCGCCAGCGACTTCGTCCGCGTTTTCCGTAATTTCTTCGCTCCTTATAGTTGCAGCGTGATGTTATATAGCCTAAAGCCTTCCTCGATAAATGGTTTATTCAACACAAAAAGATTTTTTCAATTCAAACCAGTAGTTCCTGAGATTAACGCGTTCAAACAAACTATTCAGCTTTATAATATTATTATAGTATAGATTTTACTTATGCAACGATAAAACTGCTTTAAATATTTAATAATGGTTCTAATCTAATAATATTTTTTTTTATAAAATAAAAATTGTTGGAAAGATTAAAATAAAACTGTATCTATACCTATCGCTGGGTGTTAAATACGATACACGCATGCGTGCTGATAATTTTTTGTTAATATCGATAAATGTAGATAGTAGGCATTATAATATAAAGGGTCATATGGCATGTTATGTAAACAATATATGGTACAATTTATAAAGAGGGATTGTTGTATTTATAAAGGGATTAGGGAAGGAAGATATTATCGTGTTAGTTTCGACTACGTCATATTTAGAAAGGGCCTACAATCTACAGTCAAAACGGGAACTGGTCCTGCTACCCTGTGAAATTTTCGTAATTATATCCTTGAAGGGAAAATTGATGAATACGCGAGATGCTTTATAAGCCGAGGGCTTTACGGTTACCTTTCACAATAGTCGTAATAATTTGTGAATAATTAATTAATAGCAGTGTTTGACGCGCAACACGCCATCCTCTGTTCCTGTCTATCCCGTTGATGGGTATGGTACTTGGTAATGATGACATAGTTTTTGTAAATGTTGCTGATGCAATTATTGCTGAACGCTTCTTATGACAAACTCGAGAAACACCTTATCTACAGCATAGTTACTTGTAGCCTTTCGAGAGTGAGATGTTGTATGGGATGTGGCGCACCCGAGAATACTGACATTTGGGTGTAGACAAAACGTTCCTAAGTTCGTCATGCTGCTGGTGTGTGGTGTGTTTCTTTCGCTAGTTCTTCTTGTCTGCCGAAATACGTCTTGAACTGGTGAAAAATGGTAGGCTGTTCGGAAGTAAGTTTAATTAAATAAAGATCATTTGTGTTTGACACTGATGCCAGAGTAGGTAGGTACGGGCTAGTTTTTAGAGAGCGATACACGTTACGCCAACCGTTGCGGTGACGCAGCGCAGCCGGCCTTCAACTTGACTCGTCCGCTGGCGGCGACCTCGCCCGCTCCGAACGCACTCGCGCCCGCGTTGGATGGTGTACGGAATACTTACGTTTTAAATGTTATTTGTTATTTGAATAGAAATTCGACAAATTAACTTGAAAATTGTTAGTTGCGTTTTGTGTTTTGAACGTTTAATTTTATTCTGACTAGAGACTAGGGTTGCCAGATAGCGAGACTAAAATATCTGGACAAAATTTGAAAAAGTCTGGATTTTGAGATCACAATCGGGACAAAAATAAATGCTAATAAGAAATCCACTTTTTATTAATAAAATTTTAAAATAATAACAAGTATCTACTTTTTTGTCATTTTATAAGATCACATAATAATAGTATAACATTTAAACAGCTTATATACCTACTTATTATATTTTTATGATATTTTTTTTTACTTGGAATTCGATTTTACAGAATCTAACAATTTTGTCGGGACATATTTGTTTTTTTCGGGACTCTGGACATCATACGAAATGTCTGGACAATCCAGACGAATCCCGTCCATCTTGCAACCCTACTAGAGACCCGTGGCTTCGCACGGATATTTTTTACATTCGGGTCCCAAACCTCTTTGGAAATACTCTACCATCATATTCATCGGGAATAATGCAGGATACTAGCTGTATTCCCACGCCTTTGCCCGCCTAAATATAGCCTATGTCAATTGTATAATGTACCCTCCTATAGGTGAAAGAATTTTTAAAATCGATCCAGTAATTAATATAGAACATTTTAATTAAAAATAAAACGTAACACAGAAGACGAAGTATTAAGAAGTAAAAAAAAAAATTTAACGAATATTATTGCATATTTCCGCGACCACTAGTCGTCTAATCAAATAATTTTTGAACGGGTTTTTAAAAACGCGTAATTTATACATTTTATTACAATTTGAAATCATTTCGGAATCTATGCACGCTCCGCGGTCATCAGACAGAGGTGTTGTCCGTCTATAAAATATTGAATAACTTATATTATTATATTATATAGCTTGTAACAGTGTAGACTTAATATATGATTTTATGTGATCATCGATGGTTGTATCCCAAGTAATACAGTCAGTATGTTACTACCTTCATCTCTATTAAAATTACTTACGTTCTTTTTTTCATTATATATTTTGGTTCAATTGGGTTTATTGGAGTAAAATTTTGTTAATTACCTTCGGTTTCAAACTGTTTTTATTGTCACGAAGTAGAATTAAATTGGCTCTCCTCGGTTTGATTAAAATGTAGTCGGTAAATTACGTGATAAAATTACTCGAGTCGCCCTTTGCATAGCAAATGAAACGCAATGCAGGCGGGCGGGCGCGGAGACCCGCTGATTTATGTAATTTTACTGTGACACGCCGCCGCCGCCGTTAGCGCTGCTGCCGGCTCACTCGACTGGCCAGGCGGGCTTAGTTAACGTCAAAGTTGTGCAACGTTTGCGGTGGCTGATTCTGGGATGGGTGGACGACATAAGTCAATTGTCGCACGTGACAATCGACACCGTATTATCTCAGAAATATTAGTTTGCACTACGAAGTATGAACTGTGATTTGGTCATTTAGTTCACCGCCAATTAGTGTTTTAATTATATGGTGTTCCGCCATTATAATATTGAGTACATAATAGATATAAAAAAGAATTATGACGTACTAACACTTAGATATCTTTCATTGAAACGGTTAATTTCAGACTACTGTTGTGCACACGTACGATAAAGATAAATAAATAAAGAGTTATCGGCAGGGGCGGATCTACCTAAGGCATTAACGGGCTTAACCCAGGGCCCCGTGTACCAATAAAAAAAAATACAATACGGTATTTTTATTTTATTTGTATTTTAACCGTTTCTTAGCATAATTACTTCAGTAATTAGAAAGAAAGAAAGTTTATTGACGACACCTGTCATGAACAGATACAATGATAACGTATAAGAGAAGAGAGAAAAAAAATACATACTTAAAAAAAAAATACAACATATTCATGAAGTAACAGAGTGGTTAACGTGGACCCTATCTCAGCGATGGCCCTTGTGCCATTTCAAGATGGCCAAAATGACACAGAGGCGCTGTTATTCTGATAGGGCCCATTAGTTGCCCATTGGTTGGCCAATTAATCGGCCCCTGATTAGTATTAGCACAGGGCCCCACAAATTCACGATCCGACCCTGGTTGTCGGCCAGTAAATTATCGACTGTTTTTCGGCAATTGCAGACGGATAACTGCGAAGTAACACTAATGTTTTAATACATACATTATTTTCTTATTTATTTTAAGAATTCGAGAAACTCTATTGATAGAATAGAACATAATATTTTCTGTGATGTCTAAGACATGATTGTGATTATTGTTGCGTTATTGCACAGGTAAAGAGGTCCAGAAGCGTTGGCGTTCGATCCGCGACTCGTACACGAAGGCGTACCGCCAGGGCAAGTGCGTGCTGCCCGACCAGTGCCAGCCGGGCAGCCGCCGCTACCAGTACCACAGGCAGATGTCCTTCCTGCTGCGAGCGCTACAGAACAAGTGAGAATACACACCTACTGACGACACAACACAGGAGCCACTTTCGCAAGGATCAGTCACTGAATGGGTGACCAAAACATTATTATCTCGAGCTATTCCGAGTTTCGGAAGGCAGGTTAAGCCAATGGTCCCGGCTACATTGGGCCAGCAGGCGGGGTCATGGCTCATCCAACATTAGAAAGATCTGAGCCCCTGCAATGGGGATGTGAAAGGAGTGATGATGATGATGATGATACATAAAGATAGTACAACAATATGGTCACCCTACTTTGTATGTATATCTCTCATCATTTGAAAGTAAGATTAAATTTCACGTACGTACCTATCACATTCAATTAGGATTGGAATAATGTAACTTATATGTGTACATCACAGTAATATTGTAAATCATTACGCTAGATTATAATGGTAAGCTTTTTTTACATTGTATCGCAGGAAACCTAGATATTCGCAAGACAAGTACGAGTCGTTCTCAGAAGTTTCCAATTCACCCCAGCACCCGCCACCGGAAGATCTGCCCAAGATCAAGACGGAAGTCATAGACAAACCGCTCGACCTTAAAACTAAGTCAGACAAACCGGAAGTGCCGGACAAGCCAGAGACACAAGACAAATGCAACCAAGCTACCATAGAGCAAGAGATACCTATAGAAATGAAAAATCCATCGCTAGAAATTAAAATTGATGCAAACTCTATCCTGCCAGAGGACCATTTCAACGACGATAGAATGTTTATGAACTCACTACTGCCACTTTTTAAGAAAATGGACGACGACACTAGGTTGTTGTGCCGTATTGAAGTTTTGAAAATAATTAGGTACGCATTACAAGGTCATAAGTGTTTTGAAGCGTTAAGATTGGCGGAGGATAGTTTCTTTAAGAATAAAATAAGTGGTATTCTGGCGAAGGAGGAGAGCACTGAGACGTCCATAAACAATACTCGGACAGAGTCGAGATTGTCTATGACGACTAGATCAGCTGACGGAAGCAGACCTGTTAGGAAACGAAAGGTATTTTTTTATTTATTATTATCTTAACTAAAACATTACCATTTTAAAATGATGTTTCATTTTTATGTAATTGTCCTGTCGGCATTGATACCTAATTTACAATACTTATGACCTATTTACAATTTCTAAATAATATTCAAACAATGTACAACACGACTGCACCTCAGTCTACCACAATATGTAAAATTTCTTCCATCGATTATTAACTCTACCGACAATGTATTAAGGTTTAAAATGAAGAGCAGAAATTTGACATATTTTTAAATAAGGTAGTGCTCGGACATTTTATTATTAGAAGGAAGGATAATGATGAAATTGTATTGTAACATGTCTACTTTTACATATTTTTAGTTTAAATTATAAGTTGCCCAGCATATATAATTATCATAGTACTAGCTCTAGCCCGCGACTGCATCCACTTTGTAAAAGTTGGGTACTTTGGGCAGAATTTTCAAAAATACTAATACAAATAGTTTTATATCTTATTAAGTACACCTAAAGTTTTTTTTTATATTTGAACTATTATTATATAAACTTTCCTATTTCAACCATTTGATCTGTTTTTTCGCGATGGAAGCCGCGATGTTTTTTCCCGGAGGCGTCTATTTCCGTACAAAATTTCATTGAAATTTCTCCAGTTATTTAGACACTCGGAGAGACCGTAACAGACGCACAGAGTTTAACTTGCTTTGTAAGGATAAGAACTTAAGATCTGTTGTAGTAAGGCGCATTACGAGAACTTATGGTCTCAAAATTTATATTATTATAACTCGTACGAATTAACATGACACCTACGGCATATTCCATTTGTTTTCGAATGATAATTGTAATTTTTGAATCGTTCTTATAACTTTGTGAAAAACATATTCGTGAAGATTATCTGCTCAGAGGCAATGCCAGGTTCCTACCCATTTCGCATAATAAATAATCAAAAAATGCGTTTCCTCGGAGTCGTATTAGCATTTCGAAAATAGAAAAAAATTCGTTTTCGCAGATATAGAATTGGCCATCAGGTGTCATGTTAATTCGCACGAGCGGTAATGTTCTAATCGATCGTGTTCTCTGTTACAGACTCGTTCGCCTTCGCCGGCACCTGTTCCTGTTAAACGGAGAGGACCAGGACGTCCCAGGAAGGTAAATACTATTAATTCTGTATAAAAAATTCAATAGGTAATATGCTTGTGGGATTGCTATAATATTTTTTGTGCAGATATTTTGTCTATTTTGACATAGTTACGAGCATTCTTGAAATTTTCCATTTTGTTTTATTATTAACACTCCGTGACTTCGCGTGCGTAAATTAATAGTAATACATCATCCGCGTATTATGTGGCTTTCCGTAGGTGAAATTATTTTTAAAATAGTTCCAGTAGTAGTAGGATGTCTTCAATGCAAAGAAACAATCAAATTTTTTCTCTCTCTATAATATTAGTATAGCCAAGGTAAAGACATAACCAACCTTTTTATGCATATAAGGAAGTATATTAAGAAAAAAAGAAAGCACTAAAAAAGCACCTCACTAGATGGCGACTCTAGGAAAAGTTGATTTTTGTAGGATACGAATGGACTAAATATTAAAAATCTGAAATTTGCAGAGTTCGAAACTTAAATATCAATACAAATACAAAAAAGTACAAATAGAATATGAGTTGTTTATTGAGTTTCGAAAATTAATTTACTTTTAAACGTGAAAGAAAACCGGAAGCGTTGTCATGGAGAAATCAAAAACGTACCGTAGCGACATCTAGTTTGATTTCGGGAACTAATGTTTTTTTTTAATACTTCCTCATTGCAACTTCTCTGTTATATATATTTTTATTATTGGAAAGCAACTTCTTTATGTATGTAATAAGCAGTGGTCGGAATTAGGTAGAGTTATTCATGTACTTACACTGATTTCATACAGCGAAAAAATAAAGTGGATATGCCTCAAATCCCGAGATTAATTTTAAAGAGCAGAAAAATCCCGTGATTTTTTAAATAAAAAGTTATTTACTTTTACACAATTTAAACTACTGCACGCACGACGTTGCCAAACTTACATCAATGACATCGGATGTCCAAAGTTGCAAAATACCAATACGCGCGATGTTGCGACGAAGGTCCACATTAATATCAACATTTCGATGCAAGTACATAAATAACTCTACCTAATTCCGACCTCTGGTAATAAGACAGGAAGATAAAAGTGAGACGATTTTAATATAATTTATAAAAACGGGCTACTGACTTCGTCCACGTGGTATAGTGACTTTGGGCTGCAATTACGAAAAAGTTGAATGTCACTATAAAGTGCCCTAACATACGATTAATATTTTATTGACAATTACAAACGTTCATCCCTTATATCGCGAAAAAAGGTAAACAATGTCCTTTATCACTGTATAGGTATTATACACACCGCGTGAACAGAGCGTTGTATGACATAGACCTATAAAAGTCACGACAGTGCAATAAAAATTCTATTTGTTTAAATTCATAGTATTGAGTTTTTAAAACTCATAGTGCAAATGTTTTTGTTTATCACGTTAGCTCACTAGTCTTGCGAGATTGCTAGTGTTTTATTAATTAGTCAATTATTATGTTATACTTGCAGCTATACATATTTCAAAATAATTACAAATTAAAAACAGAGAGACTTTTAATATGTAAGACTTGACCAGTATACAAAACATATATTTTATAATTTTAGACACAAATTATAAGATAAAATTAATGTTACAAACTCAAAGAACAATAATGATAAAAAATCCGAAAAAGAATCATGAAGACATGTTACTGACCCTGTACATAATAAAAAAAACCGGCTAAATACGTGTCCGACTCGCGCATTAAGGGTTCCGCACTATCCGTTAAAAAAAGTAAAAAAAAAAACACTTGTTGTTTCCTATGGAGTTTTTCGAGCTAAATACAATTTGGTCGTCCTTTACTCGTAAACTTATATAACCAACTTAAATGTTATAGATTTTTTATTTTAATTTCGTTTAATATAGGTACTACTGTCGTATCGCTTGAATTTTCACTAAAGATCGTTTAGTTTGTAGAGGGGGGATACTTGACTCTAACGGAAATTAACTCATTAAAGCTTAATAAGTCACTAACGGATACTAAATCGAAAAACGGCTTACCAAACTACTAATGTTTTTTGAAAGAACTATCCAACGATGTCCCACACTGTAGAAAGACGAAAAAATGTTCATCCCCACTTTACATGTAGGGGAGGGAATGTATGCCAAATTACAATTTTCTAGTACCAATAGATTTTGAGCTTAACCGCGGAGGGACGGACAGATTGACATGGCGAAACCATTAGAGTTCCTTGTTTTTACTACGGAACCCTAAAAAATATATATTTTGTCACAGATTCGTCCGCCGCCATCTGATTCTGATGAGGAGCAGGTTGTGAAGAGAAGGTGTCCCAAGCTGAAGGTGCCGGCGATAGAACCGGCCCAGATGTCCGAGATGGAGGAGTCGCTGAGTAAAGCGACCAGCGTCGCCCAACTGTCCACACCACTCTTCATGAAGGTATCTACAGCTCGTACGAATTAAGGCCTATTCCAAAAACGAAATGTTGATACGTGCTCCAAAGAAATGTTTTTTTTTTTTTGCTTTGCTTTTAAATTATCGAAATTTATAACGCAACGGAGATAGGAGCTGATACTGCCTCTGATGCACAGATAATCTTCACGTATATTCTATTAACTAAATTATAAGAACGCTTTGAAATTTACGAATTTACATGCGAGTGCAAATAGAATAAGACCACTGGTGTAATGTTAACTCCTATCATCATCATCACAGCCCTTTTACGTCCCCACTGCAGGGGCTCAGGCCTTCCTTATGGATGGTTAAGGAGGATGGGCCATGACCCTCCACGCTGGCCCAATGCGGATTGGAGGGTATTAACGACTGCAAATGCAGCCGGGACCAACGGCTTAACGTGCCTTCCGAAGCACGGAGTAGCTCGCTATAATTACTTTTTCGGTCACCCATCCCGTGACCGACCCTTGAGAAAGTTGCTTAACGACAACGATAGCGGGCCGCGGCGCTTATCCACTACGCCACCGAGCTGCCCAAGTTAACTCCTATGTCTTATATTTACTTAACATTTATTACCACTAACGAACGGATTCTTAACGTAGCTTGAACTAAAATCATAACTTAACGGTAGTAATGCCCTGCGATTCTATAAAAATCCAAATCAGAATTCTAATTCACTCAGATGTAAGAATTCACTTCAAAAAGCGGCATCCGCTCAACATTGAATTGGTAATACAATAACGCTTCGTGGCATAAGTGAAGTGAGTTTCGAAATGACATAGGAGTAGAAAATCTGAGACACGTATATTCAATCAATTTTGTTTTGTATTTTTTTATTAAAAAAAAAAATTCTACGCTACTTGACATGAATTCGAACACATTCGAGAATTCGAATGCGGCATGACAGAGCCGCAGGGCTGTTTTTTTTCTATAAAATTCACCATTTCGGCATATAAAATTCACCAGGTCCGAGTTTCCCCTCGTAATTACACTGAAGTGTTTTTGAAATATTCAAAGCCAGCGATGCTCGATGCTTTCGATGATATTTAAAACTAAAATAATGATTCCGTTATCGGTTGACCTTAAAATAGACCTTGCGTTTAACGCTAGAAAAACTATTTCAAATCGACAGTGTTATGCACGATCGGCCACCGAACAATACTGTAGTTTTAGTGCTAATTTTCATATTATTAAAATTAAATACATTTTTTTTAATTGGTTGAATGCAAAATTTGTCAAATATAATAACAATTAGGACAGATTTTCATCTGAGTTGCAGAGCTGTGTGTGTTTGTGTGGCCGTTTGGATTTTATGTATTACTCAAGTCTCGTTAAGTTCTGTTTCGTTAGCAAAAGGTCACGGGTTCGGACCCCGTCTTGAACATTTAAAGATGATGACTTTTTTTTACCTTAACACATCTATACTTATATTATAAAGAAGAAATTTCATCGAATAGAAATTTCATCGAAACAACTGAAAAGATTTAAAAAAAAAAACACCTGCGGGTCATACGTGGTTCATGTAGGCTATAAGTTTCGCGTGCGAAGTCGCGGGATAAGAGCCGGTTAATTGTAAAGCAGATAATATGTCCATTTTTCATTTTATGCCGCTTTTTTTTTTATAATAATATACCTATCTTTTTTTTAATATATCTAATATTCTTATAATGTAGCTTTATATTGGGTTTCTAAACGGTTTATTAAACAAAAAACATCTTATATTTTAGTATAATTGTTAAATTAAAAAATTCTAAGATTTAAACCTTTGCCCTTTGTCCACAGATGTACAACTTGGAACGTTCGAAGTCAGCGCCGCTACAGACGCCACAGACTATGCACGTCACCATCAAGACGGAACCGCTCGACGATCCACAGACTAGCTAGACCTCTTAGTATAAACATTTTTATTTAGGAATTCTATGCGATCTGTTTCGAATTTAATCGACGATCATGATCGATACATCGATTATCGAGTTTGTTACAACGATGCTAAAGGTAGAAATGTGAAATATTCGTTTTCAAATATGAAACTTTTCTTAGTGCGAGTTCTTGATATGAATATTAAAAAATATGTTAATATTTTGTTCGTTTGTTTCGATTGTCAAGAGATGACATTATTTGGTAAACAATAGCTATTTTCGTTATACAAATTGTCTTGTTGTTTCCATTAACGATATGTATGAAACGACATGCCATTAAAGAAAAAAAAAATATATAAACTTCTGCATATAATAATACAACGAATTTTGGCACATGGATATATCTTTATGCTTTGTAATGTGTTCAGAATTGTTTTTCTAAATTGCGAAATATAATTGATGATTGATATAATTGCACATTCAAATTAATGAAATAGAACTTATACTCTTTGGTTTTTATTTATTTATATTTTTTAATAATATGATATAAAGATCGCAAATTTGCATGGTTTCCCTCCCATTGGAGTGAGCTATAGCTTACGAAGCTTTTATGCACATTTTAATGTAAAACAATCGTAAAAACCTAGGTTCATCTTTAGTTAGGATTAATAAAGTAAAAGTGTGGTTTTGCATCAATAGCGCCATCTCTTGGCAATCAAAACAAATTACACGTCTTGTGTTTTGTGATGTTTTCTGAAATATTTTTTTTATATATATGACACTAACACGGCAGTTTCCGTTTTTATCGAACTAATTGCTATTTTGTTTATACAATACAAGGGAAATATTTTAAAATTGCTTTTATGTTTATGACACAGTATTTTGATTTTCAACATATAGATATTATTGTATACTTCTAAATTTTGCTGAAGACACGTGAACGAATTTTTATGAAAGCATTATCTCTTCGATTTCTTTTTTAAGCCGATGACAGCACGATAAATTAGTACAAAAGGCTATTTTAAACCTTAAGAAGTTGATAGTAACGGTCGAAATCGATCGAAGTGATTTCTGCCTTTTGTTGTAACGTGACTTGTATATGTACATTCAACTTTTAAATTTGGGCACAACTAAGATTTTCAAGTTTCCATTATAGTGACGTCAGCGGTATTGATTTTTGTCTGATATTTTGAAAATCTACTAGAAGAGGGGGGGGGGGAGGTATTATATGATTAAATAAATTACTAATATGATTGTGTATATAATACTTAAATGATCTCCAATTATTCTAAAGTGTGATTAATTAATAGCTTTGTTTTAAATATGTGTATGGTGATTATTTTTTAAATAAACCTCTAAATTTCAGTAATAATAATATTTTATATAAGGTAAAATGGTTTCCAAATTACTCTCATGCTGTCTCGTTTTTAATCACATACAAAACAAGAATAGTGTACAAGTCTCAATTAAATATGCTAGTATATTATATTATATAGTATATTATGTCATTGAAAATCTGTAAATAATTAGAGTATCATATATAATATATATATATTAGAGACTGATGTTCATATATAGTCATATCGATGTATAGTTGATATCAGAGGAAGGGAAAATGTGATATTTAATTATTTAAATAATATAATAGCTTGGCCATTTATGTAGGTTAGGTTTAAGGAGTTGTCGTTAAGGATACCATTTTCGGCCTTATTAACAAGATAAGCAAACCAAAATTGTAAATAAAATATTGATTCTAGGACGAAGAAAGGTCGTTAAATAATTTATGGCGTAATCCACTTGATAGAGCTATTTTAAGTTTCGAGATTCTCGAAAATTAACTATGCTAAATAATTACCGGTCTGGATGTTGTGTTACTTTCATTCTTTCAGATTTCCGCAAGTGCTTTTAGAATCTTAACCAAAGTATGTCTATTTTAAATATTTTTTGTGCGTTTCTTCTTCGTGTACCTATAGTGTTTGCGACTTTTCTTCCCTGTCGAAGTGTTTTAGTTTACTTAAATAGTCATTTAAAAAATCGCCTTTGGTTGAATTTTGAATACCGACTAAATTGCTACATTTTTCAATACAAAACTCAATATGTAATTTTAACTAAGTGAATACGATTTTAAAGTGTTTTTGTTTGTTTAACTGATATATACTTGGTATCTGTTGATTTCTGGTTAAAATTGTAGTCTGTAAAGTTTTTTTATTTAAAATTGTAACTGGAATTATGTGAAATTTGTCTTACTCAAATAATACTAATTTTGTAAATAGGAAGATAAAAGCCACTTGAAGAATTTTCAAACTGTTTTATCTATGACTTAAACCATTCTCTTGGATGATTTTGTGTGGAACTATCACGTTTTGTCTGCACTGAATGATGACGAAAATGTCCTTTAAAAATCAAACAAGATCATTTGATTAAAAATTGTCTTATAAGCGCCATCTATTGATAACAAAATGTAAAAAACAGTGACGTTCCACCATTTTTTTATGTTACCATTTGAATAAATATAGAACTTCTTTAAACTGCCACTGTTTACTACAATAAACATTGTAATGATGAAAAGTCCTTATTGTAGGACGTTAAAGTGGTGTATAAATAATCGTCTAAGCTACACTCGCTGTGTTCGGCATGTTCACGTGGTATTGCATTCCATATGTATGGTTATGATTTAAGACAATAAGTGTTGATTTTACGTAATGATAATGAAAAATAAAAATATTTTGTAAATATTAACATCTTTTATTTGTTTCGATCCAGAGATTGGACCTATCCATTATGAAAAAGATCGTATCATTTAACATTACATATATGTGTATATTTACTGATGTCCAATTTGAAATATTTAAAGTCCTTCATTCATAAGAAAAAAGAAATTTTTTGAATGGGTTTATTTGTTTTGACTTTTTAAAATTTAGCTTTCTTTAGAATAAAATGTAAGGATGAAGAAGCTCGCTTTATAGTTTTAAAACTCTTTTTGATGACAGGAATGAGGGCTAACGCGTTTGAATTTGCCACTAGAGGCGCTAGTGTAGCGTGAGGTCTTCAAAATGTCAAATATCATATATTGTCGGTAAATTATGCACGTTTATTTTCATATAAACGAATTTTGACGCTTATTTTGGTTTACCTAAGATTCATAAAAGAAATTATGAATCACCGGTCAATGAATGTCTATTTCCGCGTTTTATTTGTTTTATTTCCGCGCCTCTCGCGACTGCCGCGCCATCTGGTGAGCGAAAAAACCATAGCCCTCATTGCATTAATATATTCACAGAGCCGGTGAGCGAGTTATGCTCTTCCCCGCAGATCCTTCCCGGAAAAGGGGGATAGTTGCAAATCCTCGCCTTGGAATACTCTAGTCAAAAGTTTCAATGTTACATGAATTTGCTAGCTAAAAATTACATTATGGGTAAAAGAGTGAGCTTCTAAAGTGCTGTAGTTCAGAAGAAACATTGTGGCACTGCTAGGCTGATGTTGTTCCAGTAACGCAACAATATTTCTTATATCTATAAATATTTACTCAAGCGAATTATTGCCGCAATGATGACCTGCCCCGTTACCTAGTATACTTTGGCGCTAGTGTACCCTGGTGTACCCAGTCAAGAGTGCGGAGCGGCACATTTACAATGCCGATCGGTCGCGATTGCGTTCGAAAATAAGGGCTGGAAATTGATAATTATAAATACATAGTTCTAATTATAACAAGGCTAGATGAGACTAGATGGATCAAGAATTCATTTCAAAATCCAATAGGGAAGGGCGCCGCCTATAATAATAATATTTATTGTCAAAACATTTACATTCTCAGTACATAGGTTGTGACCTCCTTTTCAGTGCCAAAGCAGGCGCTTGTTCCAGGAGATCTCGCTCCTCCTTATCAGAAAGTATTAACAAAAGACTTAAAATATAAAATTCTTTGTTTCATAAATTGTGTATAAGTTTATAATGAGGTATGCATTCTATATAACAATATAAAATAAAATATATATTAAGTGATAGTCTGTAACAAAAATTCAGTTTCGTCGTAGTCAAGCGTTACGACCCAGTTTTTTATTATTACTTTACAGTCATGTTTATTCATCGGATAAATGGTAAGTTTATTGTTTACTTTATTGTAAAGGGTAATCGCTCTACGTTGAAATTGAGATTTAGCAAAAGCTGTCCTAGTTTTAGGAATTTCCTTGTCTTCTCTTTGTCCCAATATTCGGGTCATATTCTAGAAACATGTGCATTCTCAAAATTGTATGATAGATATACAATTTTCTAACAGGTAATAGGTGACCTAATTGGTATAATTGCGTAGTAGGAAATCTGAAATTTTTATAGTACATAACCTTAAGCAGCGATCTCTGAGCCCTTTCCACTTCTAATAGTTTAGTTTTAGCACTACCTCCCCATACAGGGATACAGTAACCCAATACAGATTGTACAAGAGCCAGGTAAATTTTGCCTATGTAGTTTGTACGCTAGCCTGACTGACGTCTAAAAATATCTTTAAACATTCTTTAGTTGAGTCAAATTTTTAAAATTACGTAGCGACATCTATGTTGATTTTGGCAAGGAATTTTTGAATATTTTTTTGTTTAACGGCTTTAGTTCTACCATCTTGGCCAATACTTCCTTGGCGTAGCCTTGTTTGTTGCAATCATAGATTGCAATAATTTATCGATTGTATTGCGTTACTTATTTAATAATTTAACTTATATTCAATACCGATACGATTGATTCAATAGTTTAACCGTTTTTCAAGGTTAACTACCGATACAGAGGAACTTAATTCTAACTTCAACAATATAACAACAGCACCGTTTGAGTTAGAAAGAGGCAAAATTGATTGCCAATAAAAAATGCATTTTGGATAAAAATAATTTATTTATATAAAAAGCCATAGTTAAATTAATTCGAATGAAGAATATCTTCGGCCGGTTTTGTGATAGAAAACTGACTAAACTTCACCACCAAGCCTGCCCTTTGTGGGCTGCAACACATTGGCCCCACAAAATATTTGCCTTCGGGAAACTGACAGAGACGCAATAGGTTCCAAGTGACATTGTCATTTGAATACTTAACACAAACTACATCTCTAGTTTTTGTGAGACGCATCCAGAATTTTCGAGGATCGCCCATAAAAAGACCTAAAACAAAAGAATCTTACAGTAGTCGTTTATTAGCGATCGACGTATTAATAAACAAAAGATCAAAATATTTTCTGTTAAATGTAGTCGTTAAAAATATTTTATTTACCTGTGGCCCAATCGGATGTTTGTTTTGTGAGGACACTACTAATCATGGGTTGTCCATCGTTGTATTCAATTCCTGTTTTCAGCCAATGTTTTTCGTCTACATATATCATCAAACCAGCTTGGTCATAAAGTGTTGTAAAATCAGCTTCGACGCAAACCTATATTTATACATAATTAAAAAGTGTTTTCATCTGGATTTCATTTATGAAAACCATGTAGACAGATTCTTTTATTCTCAGGGAAATTAATAAATAAAAAAGACAAGAAGTACACACGGCTGCACGTCAAATGGTAGTGTTGTGGTAACCACCACAATATGGCAAATTTCTGCAATAGATTTGGACCTCTACACTTAATAAGTTAAAGTTTAATACCGAATAAGGAAATATGATAATTTTGTATAGTCTGAGTGTAATTGACCGTACAATTGAATAAAAGTAAATGTATACATACATAATAAAAGCTTCACTAGCTAATTATGAAAATGAAGGAATCTTACTTCAAATGTAAAGTCGTCCTTGATCTCTACACCGAACACGTGGCCTGTGTTAAAATGAAAATTATACCATGTTCCCTGCCAGAAATCTGTTTTATCATCCGTCGTTACTTGAACAACAGAATTACTTTCCAAACACCATACTTTCGGTTCGTTAAGCCATTTGAATTCTTTTAAATTTAATTTATCAAAATTAATTGATTCCATTGTAGATACTATACGATAATAGACTGTGTGTAAATATCATTGGCTTACACTACATTAGATTATTAGACCTATAGCGACTACGAGCAAGCAAGTGATATCAACAGTGCATCTCTAATAGGAGTGGATCATTATCAAAATGATTGCTTGTTGTTATTGATAAGTTATAATAAAGCGATAAAATAAACTTATGTAACAAGTCATTATCTGTTTCAAGGTTCCATTTCTTTATACCTAGTAAATATATTTACTATTAACAAATATTTATTTATATGGACACATCTAGACCAAAAAACGACTCTGAATATCAGAAAATAAAAACATTATCTACATAACGTCAGGCATTTTAGACCATTTTTGTTAAAGAAAAAAATAATTGTTCTCTCAAATTTTACTATAGTAACACTGAACACAACAACTGTCAAAATGCAATGTAAAACAAGGATGCTGAACTTGAAAAATTGATACTTAACGATTAAATTGAATAGTCAGAATCGATTCTCAAAGTTTTAATTCATTGATGTTCCATGTGACACATATGACATTTCCAAACATGTTCAATGTAAACCCAGAATATTATTTATACTTATTGTAAATCAAGTAATTTAATGGAAATATAATTTTGTTGATAAACATAACATTATGCCTACTTTTTCCAGATAACTTAGGCAGAGCTATTGACTTGTATCTGATTTTGCATGAAGGAAGATATAAATGGATGATAAATGGACAGTTAACAACACGTCAGATTACAAATCAGTTGAACTCGTTTTAAGGTAAGGTTAAAAATCATCTGCAATTACTGTAAACTGATCGATAGTCGTGTGTACATATTCTTTAATGTTATTGGGAATTTTAAATAAAAATAACCCAATTTTTTTCGATAAATCAGCTTCATACCAAAGTATGGAGTATTAAGTCAGTATTAAGAAGAAAAAGTAAGTAATTCTCGAAACTAAAATTAATTTCGCAACATACTTTAAAACATTTACGATAAACTTTGCTTTGAAATTTTTGTGATCGTAAGTAACATTTTTTTTAATGTTGCTTGTCATCATAATCATCATATCAGACGCCCATTGCTGAGCATAGGCTTCCCCCATTTATCTCCACGGCGATTAGATCATTAGTCCGCCTGGTAGTTCACCCACTGAGCATCATCCAGTACTTGTGAATGAATTATATCTCGCTCCGGTCTTCTTTGATGTCGTTATTTGAGTCGAGAATGAACAGAAATCCTAGGTAGCTATAAAGTAGATGGCGATTGCTAGCTCATAAATTTTATTTTAGAAGTTTCTTTTGTTTAATACATTATTTTTACTTACTATTGTCTACGCAAACGCAATACTCTTTTTGCATTAGCACAAGTCAATTATTTCAATTGTAATATTCATTACTAATTAATCGATTTCAGATTGACATGCCTAGCAGCTCGGGTATCCTTTTCTTTCATCTCATTTTCAAAATGGCTACATTTCCGACAAACGCAGTTGCTGCTACGCGTTCTTTCTCTGGATTGTTTAAAAAGTATCTAGATTATATTTTTGTTTTTAGTTAACAGCAATTTTAATTTTATATACAGTGTTACTTGTTTAGTATCTGTTTATAAAATGGGAAAACCAGGTAAGTCATTCTCTTTTATATTTCATTAAATGCCGGCCGCGTGGGCACGTGATATTTACCACATTGAGCTTTTAAATAAATTTCGATAGTATGTTTAATTCAACACTAAAAGTAATTTAACAGAAGCTACGCTTCTGCTTAAAAGATTCTTCGGATTTAGTTAAAATTTTCTAGGTTATCATTTTGAGGTTATGTATTTCACACGTTTTTTAATTAAAATTGTCAACAAATACCTATTATAAAACAAAAAAAACTATTTTTAAAGAAAAATTACTGACACTTGTATAGAAAATTATAACCTATTAATAACTTTGTGTTTTCTTATGAATAAAAAAACACGTTAGATATCCCACGTGGTGTTTGGTTATAGATAATATTTTTAATGTTCCAGAGTTTAACAATAGTCGTGGCGGCGGCGGAGGTCGTGGTGGCGGTGGGTTCCGCGGTGGCAGAGGCGGTGGTGGCCGCGGTGGCGGAGGTGGACGCGGAGGTTTCGGTGGGGGTCGCGGTGGCGGAGGCGGCGGCAAGTTTGAGAAGAGGGGCGGAGGCCGAGGGGGCTTCGGTGGACGAGGAGGCGGCGGTGAGTACACCTCGTACCGAATTAGCATTCATATTGTTAAGAAGAATATACTGATATAGCTAAGTCAACATGTTTTAAGTGATGACAACATGGTCCCTCTAATCTTGACCTATTCATGAAGACTATGATACCACATACCCACTTCTGATATCAAAATCATTATTTACAATATGCTTGGTGATGTGATTACATTTAGAATTAAATTTGATATTTATTTTACTCAGGCCGAGGTCGTGGAGGTCCCCCCAAAAGAGGAGGCTTCAAAGGAGGCAAACAAGTTATTATAGAACCACATAGGTATGTTTTATATCATTTACATTCTATTTCCATTATGAAAATTAGTATTTACTTTAAAAAAATTTTTTTAACATAAATATATATCACTTTATTCGGTTTCATATTGATATGATGTGACATTTATAACTTTCGTTCTTCTGAATGCTAACGCTTGAAGCGAATATACCTTACTGATTAAAATCCTATTTCATAAACAAAACAAAACTACTCTTTGCATTCTTCTTTGTTACATTAGATGCTTGTTTTAGGCATCCTGGAGTATTTATTGCTAGAGGCAAGGAAGATGCATTAGTGACTAAGAATTTTGTGCCCGGATCTGAAGTTTATGGAGAGAAAAGAATATCTGTTGAGGTTTGTACAAATTATAAGTGAAGCATTTTTTGTTTTATGTATTGTAAATACATTGATTCGTTAATAGAAGAAATAATTATTATATGATGATTGTGGTCCCTCTAATCTTGACCTACTCATGAAGACTATATCCACATACCCACTTCTGATATATAAATTGTTATAACACTAAACATAATCCAAAGAAGGCACACACTAATTCCAAATACTTTACAGACAGACGGAGAAAAGATTGAGTACAGAGTATGGAATCCATTCAGATCGAAGTTGGCTGCGGCTATAATGGGCGGAGTGGACGCTATCCATATGCCGCCAGGCTCCAGGGTTCTGTACCTGGGCGCTGCCAGCGGGACCACTGTCAGTCATGTGTCGGATATTGTTGGACCGGTCAGTTGGTGATAAGTTTCTTGATTTATGTCTGCAGCTTGTACATTTTATCTGAGACGGAAACATTTTGTAAGTTTTGCAACGTCAATGACGTCGCACACTACTAAATGTGGCTTCCTGTTGACGATTTTCGTATGATGAGGTTTGTTTATTTACTTGCATGTGACGTCATACGTAGCGTAATGGCGGTGTATGACAGACAGCGTTTTTCTAACGGTTTCGGAAATTTTTGTAGATAAATTTCTCTGAAATAATAATGTAATGTGCTTAGTATGTAATAAAGAATAATTTAAACTATTTTTCAAAATAAGTCAAATACTCTATTAAATATACACCTCATCTATATTAATTTTTTGTAAGGCGTAATCAATGTTGTCTTAAATGGGGGTTTTTCTACTTGTATGCAATTAGGAATCGGAGTTAAGAGATGGTTTCATAAGTAAATTTAAAAGCTTCATACTATAGGATCCATTACATCTTTAAAAATATTGTTCTTCTTGCAAGCGACTCTTCAGCTATGTTTTAAGCTTAAATTATATGATGAACCAGACTTCAGACCTATTCATGAAGACTACTACTTTATCACCACCCACTAAACTGAATTATTAATTATTGTACCGTATCTATAAATTGTTTATGTAGGTTTTTACATTTTTTTAATTTTCTTCCAGGAAGGATTAGTGTATGCAGTAGAATTCTCCCACAGATCAGGACGTGATTTAATAAATGTAGCTAAAAAGAGAACTAATATCATTCCTATAATTGAAGATGCAAGACATCCACTTAAATACAGGTAAGTGTTCAGAGCTTTGGTCTCTGTGAACTGTATTTACAATACAGTATGTTGAACTTAACCCTTGATGCATTTGGCACATTTGTGTAAACTTGTGTTGATAATTGTATTTACATAAGGTTTTTTGTTACATTAAAAATTACCACGAACCACTTTTTCTAGATTATAAGCTTCATGTTTATTGTGAAATCACAATTTGAAGATAATATCTAGGATATATATATATATTTTTGCATAAAACTTTGCAGATAACTAGTCACAGCTAACCATAAACATGATGATGATCCTATGAACTAAATTTTGCATGTTGAAAAATGAACTCTCTCACTGATTACAATGTAGATATCTTTTCAATTTAACAAATCTAAGAGAAACCTATAATAGTTATCTTCTTGTACAGAATGTTGGTCGGCATGGTGGACACGATATTCGCAGATGTAGCGCAGCCCGATCAAGCTAGAATAGTTAGTCTAAACGCTCAGCATTTCCTTAAAAATGGTGGACATTTCGTGATTTCAATCAAGGTAAATATGTCATTGAACCTATTATATATAAAAAAAATGATTTAAATTTCATACAAAAACAGTTTTTTACTACAAAAGTTTTACAAAGAAACATTACTTCCAGTTATAAGGTTTAACCTATGATGAGATAAAGAAGCTAAATTTTTCATGTTGAAATCTGAACTCTCTCACTGAGGTTAGAAATAATTAAAAATTTCTTAATCTATTGGTCTTCAAGAGTAACTAACGTTGAGTATTGGTCGGTAGGCTTCCTGCATAGATTCAACGGCGGAGCCTGAAGCTGTTTTCGCTGCTGAAGTGAAGAAATTACAAGCTGACAAATTGAAGCCACAAGAACAGTTGACATTGGAGCCCTACGAGAGAGATCACGCCGTAGTAGTCGGAGTATTCAGACCCCCGCCGAAGAAAGCGTAGATAATAAATTTTTTTTTTAAATAAATTGACCGTTATTCGAAGCTTATAGCTATATATCCCTTTCTAACTTATAGCTCTTGGTTTTGAGATTGATTTACAAGGAGCTCCTGGAAATGACTTGTCTCCTATTCGGATTAACTACTCTCCAGCAGAATGTACAACTAACCTTCAAAATTTGGACAAACTGGGTCAGTTGATTTTGATTCCTCTAAAAAACCTCTGCTACCTGGGCATAGAGTGGAACACTTTTAAAGCAGAAAAAGAAGACTAACGAACAGACTCAATCAAATGTTACGAGTGAACACAGTAACGTCAATTATCTTCAGAGCCTAGTGGGTATGCTGAACTCTGCCAGTTATGCAGTTCCAAAAGGTCAACTGAATTTCTGTCACTCGCTTTTACTGAACTTTCTACTGAAGTCGAAGACAATTGGTCAACAGCAACTTCCATCAGATGCAATGAGCAACATAAATTGGTGACTATTCACATACCGGCACAAACTTATTTTCTGACCACCGATGTGCCACATAAAGCCTGGGGTGCACAGTTGAACGATGGTATAAAGTCTTTGGTCACGGTCAAGTTATTTAATAGTAGTGTTTTACCTACCAATAAAACGCATTAAATTATCTTATTTGAAGCTTAAAGATAATGGTTGCCTAGTCGCAAAACTCGGCGCAAAAAAATCTAAATATATCACTTTGCATCATAGCTCACATCCCCCCCGCCCCTCCTCCGAGGTGGAGGATGGAGAAACCACAGAAAGACAAAGAGTTATAAGTTAGAAAGGAATTAATTGTAGGCGGGAAGTACAGACTGCCATCTCATATATAAATAATATAATATGCGTTTTATTGGTAGGTAAAACGCTGCTGTTAGGCGATCGGAATGTGAATATATTTTATATCTAAGAAATAGCACTATTTCATAGTGTGAAAAACTATTTTTTTGTCTCATAAGTGCGAAATGATTGTTTAATTTTAGAGTAATTATAAGTATTTACGAATGAGCGTATGAAATGAGAATGTTTTAGCTTTAATTGTTAAGAGAAATACAATGACTGTGAAACCTCATATTCTGTTTCATCTTTTTTGCCTTATATTTGTTGAATATTATAGGTATAGTAGATTGTTGTATCTGTCAAATGAAACGCCACTCCACGAGTAAATCTTCTAATATGGAGAAATTCATTCTTCTGAAATATAGATCAGCATAATTTCATGAATCGTTTAATGTCTTGACATTTTGCGGGTGCTTTCCACTCGATGGAATATATTTCAAAACATGTATTATAACTAACGCTCTCGATTGCTCCAATCATCCAATTCTATCCTCTGTCTCGAGAGCAACATAAACTTAGTGTGAATCCATACAAATTGCGCAGAAATGTTTATGCAAAATAACTAGAAAGTGTTAAAAAATGAATACGTATTAGATCATTTCAAAACGAAGAGCAGACTGTTGCCATTGTTGCAACGTAACCTATAAATATAGGCAAATTAATATTGTAGATCAAAAATACACTGATTCGATCATGAAAATTCATCCATGGGAAGCTTCATACGTAAGCGTTTATAGGCTATATATGCTCAGGCGAAGTAGGGGGAAAACAACTAGTACTGTTATAACAAACCCTCCTGTTCTCTGAATCTGAATATGTATAAGTCAAATGTATTACGTAATACCTGCCTAATTTTTATCATTACGTACTAGAAAAGTTTGCTGTGTGCCGATTTTAGAAACCATGAACTTTAAATTAAAATGGGGTGAAGTCTATATTATTAGATAAAATAAAACCACACACTTGTAACCAAAAATATATTGTGTTAATACAATCACTCGCCGCCCGAGTCCGACTCTGAGACGGGCTGCTCCTCGCCCTCCCCGTCCTTGTCGCTCCACGACTGCTCGCTCTCCGACTGGTACTGTTCCAACTCCATCTCTTCATCTGACGACGTGTCTGCAAATATTATTTTAATAAATAGTTATACAGCAAAGATATTGTCATTTATGCATTGCATCTAACTAGTGTTAATTCATAACTAAAATAAAATGTTAATTTAATGTAACAAAATATATATATACATCTGTCCACCTACCGTTATACTCTAGTAATGCGTCCTGGTCATCGTGTACGTTGTCCTCCGCTGTCCTCTGGGATATCGTCAGGTCTAAACGACCCTTCAGATTCAACAACTGACATAAATGCGATCGTCTGTAAATATAAATAGGACATTAGTAGCAAAAACTATAAAGCAAACAAGATTGTATCAACAGTTCAGTTAATTAGACAGAATGAACCAGAAGGTGGCGTAAGTATAGTTCAATATAAAGCATCAAAAACTATTTAAGATTATTGTATTTTTTTTCGATTCATACCCTGGGGCATATAATGAATTTTCGAAAAATTTATTTATCGTCTGACCTGTGAGTGAATAGCGCGAGTATCCTGGTGAGATACTGCTGATGGTCGGTGTGAGTGGCGGCCAGTATCATGGCCGAGTGACACCTCAGTACGGCGCCCACCCACGTGCAAACGGACGCGCATCTGTACACATTATTAAATAACATTAACGTTGGCCGTACCTAATTAAAAAAATAATATATAAGCCTAGCCTACATTTTAAATAGAAATAAAATTAAAACAAATAAAAATACTGAAGCGTGGTTTAGAATTTAATTCTAAATATAAAATCAGGTTTTTTCTGTGCCATAGCCGTTAGATTTATTATGTACATTCGTTTAATGAATAATGGTTGTGGATTTGAGTCCTATCTCCGGGTTCCTGGGGCTGGTGGGATCTTTAAGCATTTTTCAATAAGATATAATCAGTATAGCAAAATTAATCAAATAATCATAATTTATCCCAATAATAAAATTATTACATTTTTGTACTCAATTTCATAATTGAGTGGCATCTGCGATTCTGTACAAATAAACAGGATGTACAAATAAGTATAGATAATTTCCAGCAGAGAATGAAGATTATTTCTCTTGATGTTCGCGAAAGGCTGGATCCACGTTCATTCATAAATAAATAATAATTCATAAGAAGTTAATTTTGATAATAATAATATATAAAAAACTAAATTATTTTAATTAAATTTTAAAAGTACTAAAATAAAATCTATATTTGGTCAGAAAGTATATGAAATGTATAACAGCTCATTGGGGGGGTCACGCCCCGTGACCACCCCCCTGAATCCGCCCTTGTGTATGTCATGATATCTGATTCTCATTGCCCTGTCTTCGATGTTCAAAGATTACAACTAGTAGATGTCCGAATAAAGATAAAAATACATCTCCCGCCTACTGTGGTCATATAGTGTCTGTGTAACTGCTCAGAAAGATATTTTCGAACATTGACAAACGTCGACCAATCTAAAAGATTTAACTAAGTGACACGGACACCTGATATGTTCTATTTTATTGAAACAAGACTCATTATACATTTCAACGAGTCCAGGTGTTCCAGCAGTGGTAGTGTATATGCAGCAGGTAATAGTAATGTTATGCCGACTCACTGGCTAGTCTTCCTGGCGGCCATGTCCAGCAGGTGTTCCAGCAGCGGTTGTACGTATGCAGCGGGGAGGCAGCTGAGGGTTCTCATCGCCACGTTGCTGTCGTTCTGCTGCAGCACCATCAGGATCAAGCTAAGATTATAACCGTACCGAATTAAAAATTTATCCCACAATTTTGTTTATTTAATATTATATAAAAAAAAAATACAATTGCTACAAAACTCATTTAAACTTCATGCGCGCTTGTTTCAAAAGGGTTTTGTATTTCGACTATTGTAGGATAACAGCTGGTTAGCGAAATACTCAATCCGATGCAAATATATATTTTTAACAGTACGATACCAATACGAATAATCATAGAGCAGATGGACTGTTTGATTATTGTTACTACATACTAGCTGATTTCTCGCAACTTTGCCCGCGTATGATGTAGCTTCCCTTAGGCGAGTATTTTCGGAGCCTATTCAACGTAAAACAAACAAAGAAATCTTCCCTCTTTATAATATTAGCGTAGATTGTCATATAAACTGCTTTGGTAATAAGATGGTTGGTAAAAATCAAAGTCAGCCAGTCAAAGACAACCTGAATTATAGTTTAGGATGTCTTAATTTCATGGAATCAATACTGAAACATATCATACCCTTTATCATTAGAGTGCAGTCCCTGCATCAGTAACTTGGTCAAATTCTGGTTCACCGCTGACTTACTTCTGCTCTTCGGATCTAAAGATAAATTCTCTAATCTCGCTTCCATCGGAACTTCCACCTGAAAAATGAAAAGTATGACTGGTTAGGAGAGGGTAGATTATATGGAATTTCACATGTTTTGGAAGAAATGATCAACTTAATTAGTTCTCTGACGAAATTTGCCTATTCATGTCTACATGCCAATCGACAGCAAGTCAGAACTTGGACTCTAAAAACGGAAATTCGATTCCTGTATGTAGTCCCAAATTGCTACCAATGACCCAATTTCTTCAATTGATTTCAAAAGCTTAACCTGCTATCAGTTTATTTCAAAATTAATTGCAGAAATAATTCTTCTGTAGTAAAATATAGTTTGAAAATAAAATAAATATTATTACCGTGAGTAATAAATAAATAAATAAGACAACACAGGTTATACAACCAGGAAACAATGAAAGAAATAATAAAACACCAAATCAAATTTGAGGCAAAGGGACGATAATAGAGTGGAAGGAAATAGACAATACCTGTGCTCCGGGAGTCTGTCGCTTCCTGGAGACGTTCCCTCCCATCGGTTCCACATATGTGACGTCAGTGTTGCCATCCGCACGTACTTTGTTCGTATCATTCGGCTTCTTGCTCTTTTTCTTTGCCGCTTTGCTATCACCACGGATGAGGACTTGGGTCTTGGAAGATAGATCTGGTGTCTGAAACGTTTGGAGCTATTATTTAAAAGTGCACTTCAGGAATAATGTGTCTGAAAGGAATTCAAAGTTTTTCAATTTGAATAGAGTGCTGTTTTATATATTTTTGGCTTTTAAAATTAAGTGGAGGGTATAGATGGTGTGAGGATACTTTTTTCTTGTCACTCCTATGCAACGCTTATGTTTGTAGTTACGTTACGACGTCATAATTAAGTGGCGGTTTTCCAAAGAGATTGCTAAATATTATTTTTTTAGTTGAATATCTGATTTTTTTAAAACTGCCCACACGACTATTGCGAATGCTACTATCAAAATAGTAGTTTACGCATTGTCTATGAAATAATTATTATTTTCGATTAATAATCGATAATCATCTTTTTAAAGTAGTCAATGAAAAAGAAAATGTAAGTGAATGTATAATAATCTAAAACTGACCAGGTTCTCGAAAATAAGTCCAGTTCCGAGTGAGTATCCGAGCGTGAGGAACTCATTCTGTAGACGGCAGCACTGTAGTGGAAGGGGCGTGGCACCCGGTGTGGTCACCTGTACCGTCACCGAGGGCTTGATGGGCTTAGTGGAGGCGCTACGACAACAAATGGTCACGATTTATATTAATATATATATAAATCGAACTCACTATTCAAGTATATATAATTTTACACATTAAATAAATAAGTTAAATGATTTAAGATTAAAAATTACTTTTAATATATATAAAACACCAGAAAATGATGACACCCTGCTTTGTTTGTGAATTCAAGATCTCATAGCTTAGGCAGTGCTCAACCAAATGGAGACCACTCTGACACAGCTGATCAATCTTGGGCTCAGGATATTGAAAAAGATGTCACAACAATCTGCCACTTGGTAAAGAGTCCCAGAGAATAGAAATCCCAAAAGAAAAAAATAGTCAGACAGCATGTCTCCAGAAATAATCAAAACTTCTAAAAGATTCACAGCCCTATTGATCTAACCGAAAAAGACCCAGTGCCAAGAGAGAGAAACGTTCTTTTTAACCATCATCTATAAATTAGTGTATGGGTGTTAAAGACATTAATAAAGTTTCTAAATTACTTACAGCTGCCGATAAAGATCAGTTCACCCTTAAAATTGTAAATCGAAACCAGCTAAGGATTATTGTAAATATATTTAAACATATAAACAAATAGATCGATACACACCTTTATTCAGAAAGACCGGAGGTACTTCAGAGTAGTAATAAGGAATCTACATACATCAACACCAATGTCCTTAATAAAGGATGCAATCAAAGCTACAGGAAATACCGTAAGAAGAGAAATTGTCATTGCTAAATTCGAATGGCAACTTGGAATATCAATGGATTGATTCCAAATAAATACGAAGCTGAATGACTCAACAACATCTAGACATACTGCTAATATCCGAAGCACATTGCACCTCTGCCAAGAACCTTAAGTTTAGTGACTATGATTGCTATACAACACTTCACCCAGATGGGACTGGACATGCTGGTTCGCTTTATTCAGTCATTGAATGGGGTTAAGCGAAAAATCGCTTAAACACCATTAAATGACTGAATATAGAATTTTCCATATCCAGGTCTCAACTACAGTATATAGAAAATAACAATGCTTATATCAATATCGCGTCAGTATATAGTCCCCCCAAAAGTAAAATAATTCAGGAGATGTTTACCGAATTCTTCAAGACACTTGGCAATCGATTCATAGCTGGAGGGGACTGGAACTCTAAAAACACTCACTGGGGATCAAGACTTACTACGGCCAAGGGTAGATAGCTTAAGTGTGCCATGTACAGCCCACATACTGGCCGTCAGACCAAACAAGGGGTCTGACGCAGAACGTGCACTTCGCAAAATGTGCACTTGACAAAAAATGCGCTTTTCGCATTTGGTGCACTTCTCAAAATGGGCACTTCGCAGAATGAGCATTTCGCAGAATGAGCATTTCGCAAAATGAGCACTTCGCAGAATGAGCACTTCACGGAATGAGCACTTTTTGTGGAAGTTTTTAATTAATAAAAAGAAATGGGTACTGCGTATTTAAAATCAAATAAACACTTTTACAACGTAATAATTTATTTAAAAAGTAATTAAGTCCACTAGGTTTTGATTGTCCTCCCTTTATACGAAGTGAGAGTTTTACTACGACAGCTCATCGGACCACACACCAGCTTTGCTAACTCTAAGCACAAAGACGTAAACATCTAGCAAATCTTTTCACTCCTAAACTAAATTAAATTAAGAATGAGTCTTCCACATAGTTACTATTCTATTCTAGATTCCTATCTTAAAGAACGAATTTTCCTAGTAAAATAATCTGAAGCAACCTCTAAATTCTTTGATATAAAAGCAGGCATACTCCAATTCTTTGTGTTGGGACCAATGCTTTACACTATAAATACCTCAGACTTGTCTCAAGTAGTTGGAATCATGACAAGCATTGATTACCATTGTGAAGTTTCTGAAATCCATCAAAAAGGACTTTATGCCATTACAAAATGGCTGCGAAAAAGGAAAGTCAAAGCCAGCGCAACAAAATCAGCCCATATTACTTTCACACCTTAGAGAATACCTCATTGCCAAAACAAGATAACTTAAATATCTGGGATTACACCTAGATCTTCACCTGACCTGGAATCAACACATAACAAAGAAAAGAGAGGGACTGATTATGAAACATAAAAACTTATATTGAATGTTTGTTCAGAACAGCAAACTGTCTATGGACAACAAACTATTATTATACAAGTCAAAATTCTGACTAAAAAACCATCCTGGACAACCGAATGATACGATATGGTAACCTATATTGTGGAAGTACAAGTTAATCAAATGTCACAACACTGCAGCGAATGCAGAATATCTTTCTAACATAAATAGAAAATGTACCATTGTTTGTTACCAGTTCTGACATTTAGATGACAACACTGTGAATGAAAAAAAATATAGATTTCCAGAGGCAAATGGCTAGAGAAACACCCAATTGCACTTGTGCAAACAACTACCATAGCATATAATTTTTTCATTGTATATTTAAAATGTAGCTATGCATTCAATCTATATACAACGTGTCCCAAAATTCAACGATAAGCGGGCGCCAAGAGGTACCCTTGCTCATGTGTACTTATGGAAAAATAAGAAAAAAATTATATCTTATCTTTTTTATTATAAAATTAAATTCGAAAATCTTCGAAAATTTACACCTTTTATGATATTTTCAACTACCACGACCACAACTTCTCAATTATGTTCAATCTTTTTTTGGTATCGGATACCTAAGTAGCACTACTATTCGCTACAACTCTTTCGAAAATTTTCGAATTTTATTTTATAATAAAAAAGATTAATAAGATATAATTTTTTTCTTATTTTTCCATAAGTACACATGGGCAGGTCTACCTCTTGGCGCCCGCTTATCGTTGAATTTTGGGACACGTTGTATAACTAAGATGACCAGTGTACTTTGTATCACCTGTTTAAACTTTCTCTGGACTATGACAAAACATTTTAAAACAAAATCCAGTCCAGCTGTTCTAGAGTTTTAGCGAGACAAATGAACAGCAATTGATTTTATTGATATAAATTAAACACGTGAATTGTGTGTGTGTGTGTTATATTTAATTATTTTATCTGCAAACATAGTTTTTACAAAGTCCAATTAGTTAAATTGAATAGGACTTTTAAATACTCCTACATGATTCTTTAAATTCTATTGAAACTATACCTATATTATTCATGTTTTGATTAACCAAATGAAAACAACTCACCCATTTAACATATGACCATAGTAATGCACTACACCACTCCTGGTGGCAGCTGCCAATTTTAATACATTCCCCCCATTTTCCTGCTGGAGTTGGACATCGATAAATCTTGGCGCATCTTCCAGTACAAAGCTGTATGTTGGTGTGGAGGTAGTTGATGTGATAGATTTCTTACGTTGCCTTTTACTTGGTGTTGAGTCATCCCCATTCACTTGCGGTAAGTGTTCTCCAGTTACTGTGATATCCCAAAATGATAGGAGCCTTTCATTTCTGAAAAAAAATAAAATCTATAATTGACCATCAATATACATAAATATTCATCTATTATTAGATTAGTAGTTTATTGGAAACAATAGCTTTTCAGAGGTGCAAAACCTTCCTCAAGATATCATGCTATCTTATAGTTGAAATTGCATCAATATATGTTAACCAGTTTAGGATAACTTCAAAACCTAAAGAATATTGGTAATACTATGTATGTATGGGTTACAATTAGTCTGAGAGGCGTGATGGCGCAGTAGTTACAGAGTTATGGTCCATTTAAGTGCCCATAGCAGAGACAATCCAGTATGCCAGTGCAGTTATTGGGACTTGTAAATGAAGACAATCTTCAAGCTAGCCCAATGAAATAGAATGGTTTATAATTTTTACCAAACTGGCTTGCTAGATGGTTATGGAACAAGCTTTGCATATGTATTTTTGGGTAAGTGGTGGGAAACTAGTATCATTATAAAATATTGGAAGTATACTTACAGTGAGCCTTCTAATAGCCAAGTGGCATTGTTATTATTGACAACAGCCAATAGTACACCTTTTGTGATGTTGTGGCCGAGTCTCTTAATAATGATAGCCGAATCATCTAGTAGTCTCCACAGGCATACTTGCCATGATGCTGTGACTAAGAATCTTGCAGGACTTTTCTAGAATAGCGATATAAATATTTGTCACCAATCATTTATTAATATGGTCTATATTGTGGTGTTAAGTGTTAAAATTTGCCTAAAATCCAGAGTTTTGGGGATACTAAGAGTGGAAATGCTATAATATACTTCATAATCTTCTCCCCTTCAATTGCATTGATAGGGAAGGCCTGAGCCCCAGCAGTGGGAACATTAATTAGCTGATAATAATACAATAATTAAAATAATAAGACCTTTTAATTATATCTGGTATAATACAGTACTATAAAAATACTGTATAATATATATTACATTTAGTCAATACAGAAATAACAATACAATACAGAATAAATTTAAAAACAAACTATGAACTGTGCTATACCAGATAAAATTTCAAGGTCTTGCTATTTTTATTATTGCATAATGTTATCAAAATAAATCTATGTGTTATCTGAACATACTTATCACTTAATTTGTAGTAAATTTCATGAGTATTTTTACACAACATACTGGATACCATAAAATACCTGTTACTTTGAGATATTACAAACTACACACAATACTGAAATAGGTCCTGCTGTTTATTTTATAGCCAATTAATAAACATACCTGTGTGTGAGGCACTATTTTGATTGCACTGACATAATTTCCTTGTTTGCTATTATCAATTATCACATTATACTTATTTCTAACACTGCCACTGTGTAAGTCCCATTCTATTACAAAACCAGCTTTGTTACTACTGTACAAGCCGTATCTTCGGTGCCAATCGAGAGCTGTAATGTTTTGATTTAAATTCTGTTTATCTTCTGAAATAACATTTTCTACTTTAGCTTGCGTCACGGAATATACGAGGATCTTGCCACTGGTTGTTCCTAAAACTATACACTGGCTTTCTTGTCCACTGAAGCTCTGTTTTCGTTTTCCGCTACTTTGAGAGGAGCCCTGAAAAGGTTATGTTTGAGGTTATTTTTTTGTTGCATACATTTTATAAAACAAGTAATACAAAGAATATTTTCAGCAATTAGTAAAAACATATAAAAAACGCTTATTTTTAGTAACATATAAGAAAACATTAACTTAATCTGCTGAATATTACCACGTGTTTACTTACAGCTAAATTCGATACGGTTATCCACTGCAAACATGATGGCGGTGAAGTCAAATGTAAATCTGGTGTGTATTCTTGTTTTAATACATTTGTTTCTGTGTCCCATATCCTTAATCTACCTTCTTTACTTATAATAGAATAATATTTTCCGTCATCGGAAAACGCGGACAATGCCATGTTTCATCTCAAAAAGTGACAAACACAGACTAACAACAGATAGATAGACCTATTTAATTCTCAAAGAAAAGAGAGTAGAGCAAATCAGTGTTGTCATCTTTTCATTATTATATCCGCCAAGTATATTTATATAAAACCAAAATGAAACAGACTTCAAAAATCTTAAAATATTATTTAAAAAACTGACTTACATCACTCTAATTTTTGTTTATTTAGTAAAAATATCTGCTTCAGTTATAAATAAAACTAAAAAAGCTTTTTAATTTCCTAACAAGTTTGACAGTTAATTGTTAAGTAATTGTATGTTTTTTGTTTTCTTTATGAACCTCTCTCAAGTGAAGGCCTCTTCCAAAGATTGCAATTTGTCCCGGTTTTGTGCTATTTTTATCCGTTGTGGTCCTGCTATTTTTCTGATATGCCCTGCCTCTGTTTCATTTGCTATGAGGTTACAGTTTTTGTCCATTTTTGATCTTTGAGTCTGGAAGTTGGCTGGACATGTAGCACATGTCCAGCCAACTTCCGTTAAAATTTTTGTGCATGAGTGAGAGCATCTATTGTTTTTATATCTGTATGCCTTATTTTATGTAATCTTTTTATATTCATCATACTACCTTCTATGGCTGTTTGACAGGTAATTATTTAATTTTTTGTTTTATTGGTGAATTTCTAGGTTTGACTCGCATATGTTTAACATGGGATTTGGCATGAGTTCATAACTTTCTTTTTTAACTTTATAGGCATTTCATTCTTAAATATTTCCTTGAAGCTCCAGTATTCAGCCCAAGTGCTTTTGACTCTCTTCTCTATTACCAGCTCGTTGCTGTCTCTGTTAAATCCAATTTCTTTTCCTAAGTAAGTCTATTTCTATGTTTTCTATTATTTTGTCATCTATTTTTAAGTTGGATTTTATGTGGTTGGATATTATTTTTGTTTTAATGATGTTGATTTCAAGACCAAAATTTTTAATAGCTTTGTGCAGAACTTCAATCACGTGTTGCAGTCGGGAGATTGTTTCTGATAAAAGAACCAAATCATCAGCAAATTTATTATGGATTCTAGTATCGCGATAAATATATTGGCTGAAAGGGGATCACCCTGTCTTACTCCTCTTTCGATAGGGAAGCTTGCTCCTACATTTTCTAGCTTCACTCAAGTTATAACATATTCACAACTTCTCTCGACGATGGATACGAAGGTCTTAAAGACTAAAAATGTTCTACGATATTAACATTTTATTTAAAGCTGAAGGAAGTTCAAGCCTGTGATTGAAATCACCATTTATAATGGAAAGTTCACTAGACTGACAACACTAACACGTGCGTGTCAGTTATTTAGTTGCCAAATAAAAAAAAGGTTTTGTAAAATATTAAATAGTTTTTAAAATAACACATTTCCTTACTATGTTATTAACAAGTGTCATTAGTTCTGCAAGTATTGTGGTGATTTGTATTAACTCAGGCCTTAGTTCAAAAATATCTATATTCAATTGAATTGATGTTGCCAGCGGATTTAGTGAAAATCTTCCAGTTAGATTCCGAACGTCACGAACACTTGTCATGTCATTTCTTCGCTTTCGGTTGTCCGTGGTCGCGATTGTAGGTGGAGTTCGTTACGAATATTTTTTTAGTTTAGTGTTCTCGTTCTACTTTTCGAAAGCTATCTTTTATATATACGTTCAGTGCTTTGTGTTGTGTTTTATACCCTTTTTCCATTACTAAAGTGCTAAAAAGGCTTTGCTTATTTCTCTTACTATCATTTTGTGAATATGATGTCATTTTTCTCTTTAGAACCTTGAAAACATGAGTGTTAGTGTCGAAACGGACGTCTCTAGTCCTTTATCTGAAAGGCAGAGTGGTACGTCTGATAGGATTTCCAAATCCTCATCCGAAGGCCAGAGTTTGAGCAAAAATGAAGTTGTTGTGTCAGGCCAGGAAAACAAAGACAATAAGTCAGAGCCGACCACTCCAAAGCCGCATCCGATGGCATTTACGGTCGATTTCGGTGATTCCAAGCAATTCGATAACCGAAGACTCGAAGAGTTAGCCAAGAAATCGCAGGCGAGACATCAAAGAGTTCAGTCTATGTCGGCAAATGTTACTAGGCCTGTGCCAGCTCTTCAGAAGCCTCCGATGAGTGCAAAATTGCCTCGAAAGGCTCAAGGTTATAACTCTGAAGGCTACTTCTCCTCTGATCAAGAAGATAGTGGTCTGTCTGGTTCTGTAAAACTACGACAGCATCCCCTAACCCAAAGTATGTATGTAACCTCTCCTACCAACAACAGGCACGTCAAATCGCCAACAGACTCGTTTCAATCTAAAAGGGCATCTAAAAGTCCTATAGTTGACAGTATAATGTCAAGAAGTGACAACTTTACTTCTAGACAAGCTTTGAACCTGCCACTGAAAAACGCAAGTTCCTACATGAGAGACGTCCATAGAACACCTAGTTACGGTAATTTATCTACTAGCTATCAAACAAAAAATATGGCTGATATAATTGACCAAAGTCCAGAAGGATTATTGCTCACTGATATATCTAGTCCAGAGCTTGATGTTTTGACACCTGATAATTGTTTATCAACACCGGAGCCTTCAAAGAGCCCTCTAATACGCAAGAGCAGAGCTTCTTCAGAGACTCCTGATCTATTCAAAAGGTGTGTGCCAAAAGTTGAACCCTTGTATGTTGATGATGAAGTAGACAGAGAGTCAGAAAATTCATCTACCGGCACTTATACAATAGAAGGTGACAATTACACTGAAGAGCAAAAGGCTAGAATGAGTATAGATAGGACTTTTGCTTCTCATGCTATCAATGAAGCTATTGATGATACTTTGAAGAAACGAGTCAGCAACGAAAGGGACCCAGAGCTTATTTTTGACTTCCAAAATCCTAGGGTTATTACTAAAGAACCAAGAAGAGATGTTGCCCTTAGAAGTCCTCTTATAACCAACAATACTTTTGAAATGCCTAATAAAGTCTCTAAAGACAAGAATGTCTTAGAAATCTCCTGTTGCTATGAATCTCCAACTGAAAATGATTTAGCTGTCCAAACTACAAAGCAGATAAAATCGACTAGGAGTTACTTGGAGAAAATTAAGAATAGGGTACGTAATATAACTGAAAAAACATTTCCAAAGTCACCTCCAAAACATGAGGGTGATGCAGACATCGGCAGTTTCACTTCTGTAACCACATCTGGTGTTTTAAGCTCCAAAAATCCTCCTAAAGTAGAGCCTCCTGTTAGAAGAAGATGTAGTTTAACAAAATCTGAAATTGATAAAACTGATTATATCCATCGCTTATCCAGAGAATCTTCGGTACCTGTATCTTTGCCTAGTAACAAGCCATTAGGAATCGACAATGCCAAATTTGAGAGTACCGCAATGAAAAATGCACAGAAGAGTTTAAGAGAAGACAGCGGGGTCCAATCAGACATGACTCCAGATAAAGTTGTAGGGAAGTTATCGTATTTAAGTTTGAACCGGTGTAAGGGTGACAAGACCTGGATCCAAGATTGGGCTGAGAGTGTTAAGAATTACAACAATAACACGCTGGCCACTAAAGATGATCTCAATAGTACTTTTGTAGTTAATATGGATGCAGATAGGCCTCCAGCCAGTCCTCGACATCTATCAGGAAAACGTAAGTCTATTCTGATAAGATTAATTTAATCTTTTCTGTTGTTCAATTGTAATGAGAAACTCAAATAATTCCAGAAGAATATGAATAGTCATTATTAATCAGAATGTATATTTTATGAATATTAAGGCAGCACAAAGCAGCCTTGGGGTCAGCTACAGCTAATTATTATTATAAAAATTATATTTTCCAGATAATATACAATTTTTCAAATGGAACCAGAGATAACAAAATTGACACTAAATTCACCCTTATCATAATAAGATAAACATAAATTTGAGGGATATGTTAGTATAGGCATAACGCGCTTTACGTTATTGCAGTAAGATAATATCATTATAATGATAGATCTAAGAAAGTAAGATAATATCATTATAATCATAAGAGCTATTAGAAGATAATATGTTAATAACATCACTTACATTTGTAAACTCCACAACTGTTCTAAAAAATTTTTAGAGTGGTTTTTTATCAAGTTGAAATATACCATAAATCATAATTCACATATCATAATTAAAAATTATTGTGTAAAATTGGATTCGGAGTGATAATTATCTTGATAAATAAATCTTTATAATTATCTTGGTAATTATGAAACACTATATAAACTTTGCACTTCTGGGCTTCTTTTTAAATGGGAATCACCTCTAAAAATTATCTTTGATGTTCAAAAATCATTGAAAAAATCAAAAATAAATATAAGCCCCCTTTTTATTTAAAAATATTTTAATTTCTCTTTAATTTAATTAACATCGCTACAATGAGACAAAGTCTAATATTATTGGATGTCATTTTATTAACAATAACAGTAGAAACATTTCTTATATTTATTACTTGGAATAGTCAAAAGTTAATTACAATTTTTACACATAACAGACCGATGAAGTTATCTGTGATTTGTGTACTCTTATTGACGCCTATTATAGCATTTTTGACGTTGTAAAATATCTTACTACGTTTAAAATCAACGTATTGTTACACATCTATTTTGCATAAATCCACTGGCCACGCTCAAACAATGTGAAATATTTTTCACGGTCGTTATGGTAATGTGTTTCGAAAAATATGCGAACGATAGTACTAGTTCAGTTAGTAAAGACGTAACGTAATACAAAACTTGAAAAAGTTTTAAATATATTTTTTTATAATTTATTTTACTATTAAGTTACCTTTTTTAGCATTAAGGTTGTGTGAACCTCTTACTATACCTACAATTTGTATTGGGTTGGCACAAAAGTAATGAGACACACTAGAAAAATCTATAACATTTCCTTTTTAAAATCAATTTTTTCGATAATATTCTAGAATGTTGTAGAACATTCTAGGTACTTCTGGTGTAGGGTATATAAAGCCGCGCTCGCGATTTGTTTAGTCAGTTTGAAGAAAAATGGACGAGCGACAAGTTCGAACACTATACTTATACGAGTACTTGTTAGGCCACAGTGCGCGGGCTGCGGCTGACAATATCAACAATGCATTAGGCGCTGGAAGTACAAGCCATGCGACGGTATCCCGATGGTTTGACCGTTTTAAATCAGGAGACAGGAGCCTTGAAAGTCAGACACGCTCAGGGCGACCACCCGCAGTGAATGATGACGATTTGCGCCGCGAACTGCAGTTGAATCCGGATGCTACCACTCGTGAATTAGCGGAAGCACTTAAATGCAGTCACCACGCCGTGAAACACCATCTGCATGAGTTTGGTTATCGAAAAGTTTTAGCTCGGTGGGTACCGCACATCCTTACAGACGCCAGTCGTGCAGTCCGTGTCGCTATCTGTCAGTCACTTTTGCTGCGACCCCGACGTAAAGAGTTTTTGTCAGATCTGGTTACTGGAGATGAATCATGGATTTATTACGAGAACGATACACGTCGTGCTTTTTGGCTGCCTCGAGAAGAAACGCCACCAACTCAACCGAAGCCGAGTCAAAAGAACCGCCGAAAAATTCTGCTTTGCTGTTTCTGGGATGCGCAAGGCATACTGTTTTATGAGCTATTACACAATGAAACTATAAACGCTGACAAATATTCAACCCAGCTTACCAAATTATCTGCCGCTATCAAGAAAAAACGACGAAGACGAGTCAATGTAGTTTTACTGCACGATAACGCTCGACCTCACGTCGCATCTGTGGTTCGCCGGCAGTTGGAGAACTTGGGCTGGGAGACGATACCCCACCCACCTTATTCCCCAGACCTCGCCCCATCAGACTATCATTTGTTTAGAGCCCTGAAACAGCATTTGCGGGGTAAACAATTTAATGATTTCTCTGACGTAGAGGCGGAGTTGAACAACTTTTTCGAAGCACAGCCATCAGAGTTCTGGGCAAAAGGCATCCAAACTTTGCCAGATCGTTGGCAAGAAGTCTTAGATACTAATGGTAATTACATCATTGACTAAACTTTTTTTATTGTAATAATAATAAAAAAGTAAAAACTTAAACCAAGTGTCTCATTACTTTTGTGCCAACCCGATATAATATATTCTCGAACACGGGTGGTGGTCAAAGTCAAAGTAAAAATAATCTTTATTCAAATAGATTTCTTAAAAGTACTTTTGAATCGTCCAACATTTTTTTTCCCTACCCAAAATGTTGTCAGTGGGTCGCCGAACCTGCATAATACTTATATAAAATCTGTTAAGAGTTAAGACGTTTTAGATTATTGGTCCTTGCAGGACAAAGACCTCTAAGACCCCCAATTTCTGAGTAAAACCGGAACATAACAGAGTCAGAGTTCTGAAACTTCGTCTATTTTTGAAACTTTAATAAGACTCTAAAGAAAGCAATTTTTCGATGATTTATGATGCATTGGAGGTAGGACCTGACACTGGCTCTGATGCACAAAGACTATGAATATATATATATGATTTAATAAATTTATAATAACGATTCCAAATTTGCCGTATATTCGTCCGTGGATTAAGTAGGCCCTCTGTATAGTAACCTCTTTTTTTTCTGTATTCAGAGATAGTCACCGAAATAATGCGCGTGCGCATGAAAATAGAATGTATTTAATATCGGTCAGTACGCCCGTAATACTAGGAAATATCCCGGAAACCCCTAATTGATCCTGACAATACATATAGGAATACCCAAGGCTACAGAAATTTCATACATTTTTTATAAAAAAAAAAACAAAGCTTTGAATAAATACCCTTTAAGTACACATTTAAAAAAATCTTGTAATTATACAGTTTTAATAGGAGATATTGATAAATATGTGACTCAACTTGTGACCGAGGGCTTTATGCAGCTCTTATAAAATAATCTTTACGGTTTGCGAATAAAAATAGTATTTTACGTGCAATTAGCCATTCTCTGATCCTATCTATCCTAATGCCTCAGGCAAAACAGAAAGAGTTTTCTCTTTACGTCCAGTCTTAAGTATGCATGTTTGTTTCAGCTCGCAGTCCCCTCGGTGGTACACCCACCAAAATACCGAGTCCAGTCAGTACTTTACTCAATAAGAGAACACCGGTAAGTTTAATATTAAAACCAATTGTATTATATACTTATTTAACCTGTTAATGTTCTGTATACTCATAACTTTCTCTATTAAAACAACAATCAGATACGACTATAATGCATGTTAAGAATCAAACTTCTTTGTGAGAAACTTTGCAAATTGCGAGTATCATCTCTATCTAAGCACGCTCCGCTGAGAGTATAATCAGTGGTATAATGTTAAAACTATTCTAGCACTACAAAAATGGATCTGTGAAAACGCAACGCAACATAAAGTTACTCAGTATAATACTGAGTGTTTAGAGCAACGGTGAAAAATACAAAAATGACTATTGTTTAAAATAACCTCTGTTGCATTTACGATTGACGTTATTTGTTTATCTTTCTTATCTTTAAAACTAAAGTTATCAGTAGTAGTCATATTATTATTGAGCTTAATCTCTTTGAAATCGTTCACGTTTATTTATACGTAGTCTTCAAGCATTAAGAGTAATGTTAATTGATTCTTTTCAAACATAATCAGCCTTTCTTAAAGATAAACTAAGAGGAAGTGTCCCGGGCCACAAATACTGCAGCTGGGCCAATATAAAATAAGTTCAGGCCGCATAATATGACGAACTGGAGAGACGGTCTGTCACCGCCCAAGTGTCACTTTTCTCTGGTGTGACCATACAATATTAGACGGCGGATCCAATCTTCCTGTCAGGAGATTCACAGCTTCAGGTCGAATGCATCAGATTTCAAATCAGGAGGATCATAAGTCTACATGCAGGCGTTACAAAAAATATCAATGGTCGACGGACTCTGGATCCGCTCTTGAAGATATCTCCCTCTCGATCCTTTGTACTAAGTCTAGTCTCTCTCACGCATGCAAAATTTAAATCTCTGAAAGCCTGAAGCATTATGGACATGTGAAACTTCCAATCTTCCAATTCGATGTTTCAACAATCATCGGTATTATATACAAACTAAAATGAAGACCGCATGAAAATCTGTTCGGTAGTATTTAAGTTATCGTGTACAGACAGACAGCCAGACGCGTTATTTATTGTTTCTCGCAAAAAATAGAACGATTTCAAAGAGATCGGATAGTGAAAACTATTTAGGAGAGTTGTAATATTTTATGATCAGCGAGTGTATCTCGCAGACAATTGGATTCTTATAGCTGCGTTTGGCGAATGCTAATTAAATGCTGTTAAAGTTAAAACTATCGCGTAACATTGTATGTGTGTGTGTGTACATTTCGATCACTAAAAAAACGAATAAATCAAAATTACCGTTAACCTCATATCAAGGAAATTACCTGTTATTTACTTTTGAATGGTACACAAACAGACTAAAATCAATAGAGAAGCTAACAAAAATATTCAAAGTAGGCATTTACATTACACAGTAGTGTCCGACCGAACGTTCGGTTTTGGTCGAGTTTCGACATAAAAACGAGTTTCGGTTTCGGTGGAAAGCCTATCGAAACTACGACCGAATCCGGAACTGCATTCTCGCGCTGTGATAGATCATATTTCCGAGACCGTTGGCGAGATTTTGGTTTTGGTTTCGGTTGGAAAAACCTGTTTCGGTCGGACACTATTTTACAACATGAACAGACCCTAAAATACGTTTTGGTAAATTTTAATAAACGTAATAATTAATAAGGATTATAACATTTTGCCTTTACATATAACAACAGCTTTAGTACGTAACTAAAACCCGGATTGACATGTTAAAATATCAATCACAGGTATTTTTTTATATAGATATTTAATATTTGAACTGATATGTACCTATAGACAAAAAATATAAGTCTTACCAAAAAGAACGATATAAAAATATTGTTTTCTATCAATAGAACCGACTTCTATCGGTCGGAGATTTTTTGTAATTTATTAAAATGTTAATTCCGGACTTCACTAGCAGTCTCTTAATAATTTATTAAAGTATTAGTACATAATTTTTTCATATGACATCAGTTCTATTTAGGAATAAAATAAAATTTTAATACGTTACTCCAATCACTATACTTATGTTACAATTGTCGTCTTGCTAAAGATTACGTGTCGATGACACGCAATGTTCGTACAATAATTGAATTATTAGAGTACAATCTTATTAGTACAAGGTTGGCGCGTATCCGATCTAAAGTTATTCGGAAAACATCTAAGTTGTGTTTTATTCGATCTGCACAATTTACATTGTTCCATACTATACTCGCAACGTTATATCGACACTCGGAAATTTTGCAAATGGCTTTTGACTTGAGCAACGGTTGTACACAGACAGATACCTTATTACACTTTCGTAAGTTGACTTTTTGATTGTCGTTTTATGTTAATGAATTAGAAATGGCTATGGAATTATGACATCTGGAATTTATTTTGCAATAGTAACTTGTCTCTGTCCCTGCAATAGGTATACTGAAATTCCAGGGACGTGAACTGTATTTTCTGTGTAATAAATAATTATTTTTTATAATTACAAAAACCATAGCATTTAAACAATACTTAAATAACGGAAGTAATAAAAAACACATTTAAAAAATTGTAAAAAAGCATAAAAAGTGAGAAAGTTTGTGAGGATGTTTGTATTCTTGCTACTCTTGCGGTCAGTTCCACAAACGTCCATTAAGGTTTAATGGCGCCTTTAAGCTTTCATGAATGACAAAAATTTATAGGGAATGTCGCTTTTAACTAATTAAAACTTTAATGTACATTTGTGCAACTGGCTGTATGGCTCAAAAACTTTATTTTACCACAAAAATTATTAGCTTGTCCCCCTGAACGGGTCTCCTCAGGACGCCTAGGGGGACCACGCCGGCAAGGCCGCTGGCGGAAAGCTAGTATTAGTTATTTAATACGTTTGTTGGGCAAATTAAATTTCGTTTTGTTGCATAAAAGTATGCTTGCCTAATTAGGAACTCTGCTTCGAGGCCAAATTATAGTGCCAATAGTTGACCGTAAATCTAAATAATTTGGTATTATTGTTGGCAACGATATTTTTCGCCTTGCATATGTATGTAACCGCGAATAACCTTTACCGGTAGCTTACTACCAATCGATAATGAACAGTTAGTTTCGAATTATACATTTGTCAACAATGGCGCGCGCCGCGTAGGGAAATAAATGTACAGTTTCCCTGTGTTTTGCAATAGGGAATATGCGTCTGATTCAAAAAAGGGTTATATATATTTTATTACAATCGTTATTGCTTTAGAATAAAGTCTATCTAAATATAAGTTTGTTTTCGTCTTGAAAATAATTATTAAAAAGTGCAAAATAAATGCTGTAACTTCAAAATATTTAAACGCCTTGATACTTGTCAGAGCGGATGTGACGAAAATGTACACGTATAGGGATGTCGTTGTTACAAAAAGTTAACATCGATGCGATAACAACAGTGTATTATGTCGCAAAATAATGAACTGATAACAATTTCAATGATGTTTTAGGCTTTTATTTTCATTTCATCAATTTGGTAAATCATATGATTTATTAAAAAAGTCTATTATACTTTAAAAAATCGATTAGTTGTTAATCGATTTGGGTAATTGAATAATAATCAATCACTCAAAATCTATATTGATTTAAAATGTCACATCTCTAGTCGTGTGACGTCACGACGAGCGCGCCAAAAATTCCGGTGTTTAAACTGCTCGTAGCTATTACTTATTTTCATCAATTTATTAATGCTACAAAACTTTAGTTTTTCGGTGCCGTGTATGTTTTTACAGTTATATATCGATGTAAATTATCATATAAAAAGATTTTCCAAAAATGTGCATATTCCCTATTGCTCACTGTAGTGTTCCTGGCATTTGTCTATTTAAGGTTTGAACGTGTATGTTATTGATTTTAGGGCGGCACACTGCCAAAGAAACTGCGAATTTTCACTATGTTCGTGCCAATCGATGGACAAGAGTCAAGAAGTGATTACGGATAGTTTTGGAGTGTTTAGTTTTAATAAAGATAATTTTGAAAATTTTAAATGAAGTCATAATTTGTAGTTGTTCGCAGTTTTCGTAGTAGTAGTTAGTAGTCGACAATATAGTGATTAAACTTAACGTATAATAAATATTCTTTGACTCATGGATTCTTCATAAAGCTAAATATATACATATATATAAAATTCTTGCGTTACTGAGTGACGTAGAGAGTTGAAATTTGGAATGAGGATTCCTTAGGGAGTGTAGAGGAGCACTAAGAGAAGATTTTTGAAAATTCCACCCCGAAGGGGCTAAATTAGGGGATGAAAGTTTGTATGAAACTTCGTTTCTACAAGTGCTGGGAGTGTCAAATTTTGCATGCGGGTTATTTTTAGGATGTACATAGGTGCTCACTAAGACGGAATTTTACGAAATACAAACCAAAAGTTAACTAATGAAAACAGGTAAATTACAAATATTTATATTGTGGCACAGATAACTTTTTGTTTTGCAGACATAAGCTGTCAAAATATCTATAATTAGTCAAAGTACATATAACTCATTAATTTATTAGTCAAGTTGAACGTGTAGTGGTTTAGGTTACATTGCTTCTATAAATTAAAGCTCATTAAGTTAATTAAGAGAATTCAGACATTAGTTGTTTCATTACCTCGCACATAGAATATTATTGCTTTTTATATCTTTACATCACAATAAAGTGAAACTGCCATTTCTCTGTTCCACTCTACATGCTCTTGCGCAATTAATATGTGCATAAATTTAAACACCGAAATGGCGGTGTACATGCGTTTTGTAGGAGATTTTGGTACAATAATTGGCTTTGTGTTGAATTCAAGTGGCTTGATATGAGATTAGTAGTGAACATACAGACGATTGTTTAAATGAGTCGCTTTGCTTATATTAAAACAATGTTGTCGTCAGTATTATAATCTCTGAATATATAATCGTAAACAATGAATCACTGAGGTCTTCGTCGTGAATCTGTTTAAAAGTCGCCCTTCAATTTATCAAGTACTAAGAATCAAATTTATTAAGTTTGAGTTATTATGATATTATTAATCGAATAACCATAGAA